GGCCTGCCTCAGATGATGTGGAGTTAGTTAATCATTACCACATATTACAGGAAAACAGATACCTTTATGTTGCTTTAATCAAAGTTAAAGGTGTAATCAATTATCCAAATAAATAAGCATGCAATAATCATGTTGAAAGCAACTCTCAGACATTTTCATTTAATATTCCAAACAGGAATTAGTGAAAATTGAATTTGTATTTGAAATTTAACAATTTGAATGCATTTTTTAATCGTAATTTAAGTATGCATGCAACCACATCTCTTGGCCAAGAAATCCACTTTGACCAAAAAGAATTACACTTAAAAAAAAAAAAAAAAAACTAGATACAATATGAAGCCTATTGTGGCACAAAATAAAAATGAAATATCAAATAAAATATGAATTTTGCATGTTTGGACTCATTTGCTTGTGATCTTATTCCTCTGCCTCCTGAGGACATATCTCCTTGGTGACACACACAGAAAAAAAGGTTTTGGAGCTACATTACCTGCAGTGGCGATAACCACATGTGGCCCCGTTCCATAGCTTAGAGACACAATCTTCTTTCCACACAAGACATCAATCCTGCGTGGCTCAATAGTGCTTTGAAGATCTCCAAGCCCTAAACAGCCGCTACAGTTGGTCCCTAAGGCAAAGACCTGCAAAGAAAAAACATTAAAAAATGTTTTTACATCTGTTTTTAAATATATACATTTACAAATAAGAATTACTCCATATTTATTGTGCAATTTTTTTATATCACAAAATGGTGAAGTTGTCTTAATCTAATCTGTCTAAAATGGCAAATTGCAAATTATGATCACCGGTACACTAAAACTAACTAACTACACTTTAAACCAGGCTATAATAATTTGTGACACTGTCTTTCTAAAATTATGACTGGAAAAAAAACAAAACGGCAGCAAGCATGCTCATGCTGGGACTGCTGAATGTGATGTACGGCATAATTTAAAGTGAAATCCACCAAAATACAATTTAACGGTACAGTTGGCTGTTCCATAACATCAAACAAATAAGCAAGGGTGGAAAGATTAGGCATGCACTGCACCTTTCCAAAGGCTCAGGCATTAAGCTCATATGGCTAAAGATAGCCTCATTCCATCTGCTTATCCCTGTGCCTGTAACTGCACTTCATATCAAGCAGAGAGCAAGAAGGCCTGGAGCATTTTTATATCCACTTCAAAACAAGAACTACTCAAAAATCAATACAGCAAAATGAATTACTTCTGTGCGTGCTGCAGGACAGCTTCACGTAAAGAAGAACAAGAAGGCAACCTTGATTAAACTCCAAATGTTACCTCATCATTAACTGTGACATAGAGGGCTTCATTTGCAGCACTGCCAAATACACAAGCCTGGCGGATAAGCCGGAGTTCCTCAGGAGGAAGAAGTGCAAACACTGGCCACTTTCCCACGTCCAGCATACTACTCAGCTGTGAAAAAAAGAAAAAACATGGAGAAGCATATGAATATAACTCACTATGGAATAAAGGAAAGGTTGATTAGATAAACTGAAAAACACAGATAAAAGCAGGAGTATGTTTTCATGTTAAATACTTTGATGGTCTGGTTGTTTAATTGTATTCAAATGGTTATTAAACTGGATAATAGGAATTTTCTGCCCTGTATCATGGAATGCATACATATATGTTAAAGAAAAGATTATTAAATTTCCACCTTTATCATTCCTCTTGAGTGACCAGCAGCATTCAGATTTAGATGGGCAGACAGATTAAAACGTGTACATCTGTTCAGTGACCTTTACTACCACAGAAAGTAAAGTCAAAATTATGTCATCTCTAAAGTCTAACATAATATTTCAAATATAACGGTTTCAGTGATTGCACCATTACTCTCTATTATCAAACCACACAGCTGTGTATGGCTGTGTGTTAAATGGAAAACTGCAATCAACAGTAAAACCTACTCGTCTGATCTTCTGTGTATCATTATTTGTAACGCCTATAAAAGATAATTATCTTGTATTGCTAACAATATATTTCAGCTCAGTTTTTATTCACAAAAACAAACAAACACAAAAGCCTGTTTTTATTGCCGCGTCTGACAAATTTACAGTGCTGTTGCATTGCTTTGCAGAAATATGAAGTTGCACTTTGCATGAACCCAGACAACACCTCCCTAAACACACACATACACCACCATGACCACCAGCTGCTGTTGCTGCTGGTAAGACGTCCCATACGTCAAATTAGCGGATACCAAACACAACACAAACAAGCACCGCAAAACTAAGTGTGTTGGTATTGATATATAAACTGCCAGCAATGAAACTACTACCTGAAACTATCCCACAAAAACTATCAAGCTAATTAGCGTAAAGAGCGGTGTTGTTGCTGGTACTTCCAAGTGTTGACGTTACCTTCTAGCTAGTGCTTAGTCCGCGAGGTCGTTTTCTGATTTAAAAAAAAAAGACACTAAAACATGTCACCCAACATATTTTTCAAATAACTTTGCCGGGGCCGCCATGCCGACAAACTGGTGTAGGTCTAGCTTCACATTAGCTGCTATGGTTGCACTTTGTTGTAGCTAGCTTTAATCGCTACACCACCGCCTGAAAAACATACACACACAACACCACACTTCCTGTAGTCACTTGGTGCGTTTACTGAAAATCGGACCTGGGAGCTTCAAGATTAAATTGGTATTATACAGTAATTAGGGACATCTATTATGCAAGATTAAATAAATCCAATAGTCTTTTATTTGTGAAGTTACATTACTGGTCAATAGACCATAACGACCCAAGACTTTAAGTCACATGGGTTATAAGTTTAATGGAGAATATTTTTGCATGTTGTTTAAACATCTGTGGCATACATTGTATTTATTTATTTATTTAAGAAAAAAAAAAAAATTCACCCTACTTTTCAGGAGTTGTTGATATACCAATATCAATTTTGTGTGGAACTTTAGGAAACAATTGCTGGTGTGAAACAGATGTGGGTGATACATTTCTGGCTGAGTCGTCCTGTACCATTACAACTACAGGCACAGTTTCAGTATCAATGGAGAGCTAATCTCCTTTAAGTTAAAACAGTAGAATGTAAACAGAATGACACCTGACTCCTGACACACACACAAATACACACACTTGCTTGCCCACACACATCACATATGTGACCCTAACTGACCAATCACGGTCTTTTGACCCATGAAAGGTGCATTTTTTTTAAGTTAGTACAAGCTCATGTTATTGCGTGGTTTGAATTATTTTATTATCCCACCACTCTGTACTCTCAAAACACAAAGGTTCTCATAAGGACCTCCAATCTCCGCTCCAAAAATGTGATTCAATTGATAAAATGAGTATTAAATGCTGCAGCTGCCTGAAAAACAAACAAACAAACAAAAAAGATAATTTGAATCAGACAAGAGAGCACTTAAAACAAGAAGTCCTTGGGGAGCTGAAAACCACTGCTTTAGAATTACTGCCTCCAGAAAAGTTGTCCAACTGCATAATGATGCCCTTGTAAACTTGCTCCCTCTTCATTGTCCTCTTACATTTACTTCCTCATTATGTTTCTCATTACTTTGTATTATATTTTGTGTTCTGCTGCAGTCCTTGATGTTGCTTTTTCATCGTGCACTTCTTCTCAAGTCTTAAAATATATGCCTCTTCATCTTCGAGTGTGTGCAGGTGTTTGCATATAACTTTGCTGAGTGTGAGCTTGTTGAGTATAGATTTGGACAACAAGTCTATGTGCATTTCTGAAATCTTATCACTGCATCCCAAGTTACATGTCTTATGTTATTACATTAAAAAAAATAAAAACATAAAATAAATGCACGGTGTAAAATAAAATATGTGATGTGTTCGCTGTTCACTCGTTCAGTCCCTGCAATGACACAACTATAATCTGCATATTTCACTGATTACTGCATAATCAGTCTGTCTTAAAGAGTCAAATAATTTTTTGGAAAGAGATGACTCTCCACTGCATATTTCATTGAGAACTATAGCAGACACAATGGGGCATTCCTTTATTAAGTCCAGCAGGTGGAGTCATTGATAACCATCTTGGTGTATATCAGTGGATGGGATAGCACATGTTTTTGCCAAAGATTTAAAGACCGCCTATGCAAGAAGGGTGAGTGTGTACATTGTTTCAGCAACATCTATATGCATATGATATATAGTATAGTGAAGTTTCGTATGTAGGTAGCTACATTAGGACTAGGTTGTGTATGATACATTGTCTGTGATGTTTGTGCAATTGTCTGTCTGAGACTTAATATGCAGAAGGGACTGGCACATGAAAGAAGATTTCAGATAGATAGATACTTTTTAATTAAATCAAATTTGGAAGTCACATGAATGAAGGGAATATTACAGTTTCCAGGCAACATGAATTTCTAATAGTGTAAATTTCAAGTAGAAAACAAACAAGGGGGAAAAAAATCAATAAAACAGAACGAACACAAAACAATCAGAAAAACGATCATCTCTTTGATATATACCAGTGTACATTCAAAATAAGCTTTTTTGGAGTACATAAATACTACAAAAATATCTTTGTGTTCACTCAAAACGTATAACAAACCCAACACTGCACGGTTTACAAGAACCAGTGATCCACACTTTCTTTCTGCTAAAAGCGATATTGTATTTCAATTTGTCCTTGTGTGTCTTGTGTAGGTTTGACATCACTTGTGCCGTTCAGTGTGTAAATTTGAAAGGGTTTTTTTCTCTCTCTCCATACATTCCGTATTAGCTCTCTGGCGTGTAAAATACTGCAGTTCAATCATGCTTGTTAATTTTTAGTACAACTGTGTGCTTCTGCTTACAAAGCAGGTAGAAGTAGCATTGTAGTCTTATATGGAGAACAGCAAGGTGGTCCCTGGACTGACCACGTAGCATTCTTAGATCCCCCCCCCACCCCCGACTGACTTGGTTGGACGAACCGGTCATAGACACGTCAACCGTAAGGTCTTTCTTAAAGTGATGGAAAAAAAATAGGTAGGCAAATGAAGTCCATCATAACAGCACCGGATAGTGACCGGGTTCACAACAAACAAAATTAAATATAGTAACATTATTTAGCGTTTATCTTTGCTATCTTGTAAATTAGGATTCGTGATGAATTGCCCGAATACGCATGCGCACTAAGTCGTGTAAGCGATGGCGACATTCCTGCTTTTTATGCGAGGAACAGGGTTGGATGGAAAGTTATCTCGATAAAACTGAGGGTTAGACAAACGTTATCGATACTTTGCATCGTCACAGTCGCTCGCTAGCTACTTCGACCGTTTTAAGGTGCTGTTAACGCGAGCCTGCGTCGTTCATGAGAAGACCGCATACTATCTTGCTAACTGTTAGCTAGGTAGCTTACGCTAGTATGTCACACTTTGCCTTGTCTTGTGTTTGTCTGGGTAGCTAGCAAGTTATCATCAGCTTCAGGTTCTGCAGAAAGTTGCTGGTCATCCAAGCTTGCTGACGTTAAACATTTCGGGGAAGAGCTGCATAAGACTCATCACTGTGCATCGGCTTGTTCAGCAAGACTGCTGCTCTGCCAACTGACTGGGTGAGTAACGTTAGCTGCGCTTTTGGTAATAAGTCTTGTTTTGCTACAGCGAACAACATATTGACGATATCATTTTAAGGAAGTCGAACTAACCTGTAAGGTTATTGTTTGTCAGTACGTTGGCTACAATAAGGCTGCAGTTAGATAACTATTAGCTATGATATAACGCTAAGCACACACACCTGTAGCCAAAGTAAACAGTCTCGGGTGCGAGATAGTTAACCTTGTTAAAGGAGCTAAAAAATACCAACTGATACTGTGACATGAAATAGAAGGAGCTCGTGCGTGTAGTTGACCGGCCAGGTAATGTTAAACGAGTGTCAACGACATTGCTACGTCAAATACTTTCAGTCAAAGGATGACCAGCTGTTACCCCGTGTGCAGATGTCTGGTACGAAAATATGTCTAAGTGCTACAGTTAAATTTACGCATTACAGTTGAGCAAAAACTAGCGCGTGACCTGCTATTAAACAACGACAAGAAATATCATTACCACAATTTTGTGTGGCTGATAATTAAAATGAAAAGCTAGTTCAAATCTTCAAGGTGTTTTCCCGTTTTCTCTAAAACTGCAACTGAAAAACAGCTGGTGTGTTCTTGTCAACTACTCTGTAGCCACAAACAAATGTGAGGCACAATCAGGGCAACAACAGATGTAACATCTGTTATCTGTTGTTATTTCGATACAGATTTCTTGCAGCGCAACTATAACAGGAGTTACAGCTGTTTTCTAGTCGTAGGTGGTGACTACTGATAGGCTATAGTTCTGAAAGTTTCAGATAACTTTGTTAAAGAAAGAGGAGCAAAAAGACTGAAGTATATACGCCTGTTCTGCTACTGCTGTCACTGCATCTGTTTGATAATCAAAATCATAATGTTCCACTTAACACAATCAAATTTGGAAAATGTGTAATAAACTTTCAGATCATCTTTTCCCATACGAGGGGGAAAAAATAAATTTTGACTTTAACTGCGTAAATGGTGGGTGGTCAGAGGAAATATAAAGAATTGCCTGTCATTAGGGATTTCCCTTAGTTGCTTCTCATTTTACTGACCTCCAGGTAGCTGTTGTCACTGTGGTGTTGGCAAGTAATTTACAACTAGAATAAAATTACCAGACAACCTACCAGCTGATTGCAGTGATTGGCTTGGAGGCCTCAGAGCCACACAAGTCTGGCATTCATCTAAAGCCTGCTAGTGTTACAAAAATTAACCACATGGCAATCTCTCATGGCTGTATAAATGGTTCTGCAGGCCTAGTTCATTGACCATCACACTGTAAACTGACTTTGTTGTTTGGGCTTAAGGAGGGGAGGGACTAAAGCGAACAGATAAGCCAGATCACAGTGAGGTTTAGGCACGCATGCGCCAGAGAGTAATTAAGTTCAAGGACACGTTACATTTCTTTCATGCTGTTCTGTTGCTTTTCACTGGAATTTTATTAACCATGTAACGATTGTATACATTTTATTCACAGTTGGGAAATCCTCAGTGTATAACTTTGGTATTTTACTCCCGTGTCAGTGGAGTGTTGAATAAAAAATATTTTTGTTTTGTTTGTTTGTTCTGTATTGTTTTGTTGTTTTCCCTAGAAATTCTCACATGGTCTAACTTTATTATGCATTTTTTGAGTGTTAGAGTTTAGTAATTAATCACTGAATGGTCAGCTTTTAGGTATATTTGTTATGCAAGGGGTTTGTGTTTGCCAGTGCAGTATACTGGAGGAGACAGATGAGAAGGGAATCTTTGAAAGAACAGATTAATGGTTTTTCTCTATGCCATCATCCACTTTCTTTCTCCTCTCTCGTAGTCACTGTGTAAACCCTTCACAGCCCTGGTCTTATCTCAATGCTGATATCTGTCACATGATAAGTCATGTCCAAAACATTATACCATTGTACTTTCTTCTCACATTGTGAGTATAGTAGGCTCATTAGGTTTGTTTTGAATTTGCCTCTTTCCTTCTTTTCTTAACTAGTTAAGGTATTTAACGTCTGAGGACAAAATGGCATGTGACACATTTAACCACTTTTTAGTATCACTCTTATTCATTTCTGGTATTGATTCAAGTTGGCTTTTGTGACGGCCTCAGAATGTACCCTGCACATTTTTTTTGCTTTGTGTTGACAAACTATGTGTTATAGTACAGATGTACCGCTTTTGCGTATATCTTGACTTTTGGTTTGATATTTGATAAAGTTAACTGATAAACAGACTCCTATATACCAGACTTCTGCTATTACTGAGCACTCAAAGTGCTTTTATGGTGCATTCATAGATCAACTGCATGCGTTTGTGTTACTCATGTGAATCTGGTCCCACTGGAAGCCTACAAATATTTGCCTGCTATAGCCAATGGTTCAAGGATGACTATTAGGGCTGCTACAAATGATTTTTTTGATAGTCGACTAGTCACCGATTATTTTTGCGATTAGTTGACTAATCAGATCATGCATCCATTGGAC